GGGAAAGTAAACCAACACAGTAATCAGAACTAAAGCAATCGAATTTGCTTCAAAACTTCTTAAGGAAAAAAATCTTTAAAACTGAATTATGTGAGCCAAATCTTTTATGGCACTGAAAAGCTCTCAGTAGAACAGCTTTTCTCCATATTCCCCAACTAGTCTATTTAGACTGTAAATTTTCTGGGCCAGAGACCAAGTACCACAGCAGGTCTAAACAACATCAAGTACACTAGATTCCCACTTCCTTTTCAATGATGAGGACGGTATTATTAAACTTTGCACATGTAAGTCTTCTATATTCGGGACTGTTTGCTAGTAAGTGACTCGCCACAAAACTTAGTAAATGGGTTTAAAGATTATCCAAGCAAGCAGAAGTACAGCTACATGAGTGCGGACAAACACACTTCTTTACATAATGCTGCCACATGAAAATTAAAAAAAAAGTCAAACAGAAGCTCAATATGATTGAGGCTATTTCGAGTCAGTGAAGGTTATGTTATATCACAGAGTGACAGCAGTCTCTTGAACTCCATATTTTCACACTAAGGTAGACTAAATTAATCCCTGGTCTGTAAACTTCTGTAATCATATACAGGGTTAGGAGCATAATAAAAGCAGTCTGCTTGTCTCGTCAGCACCACTAAGATATCCATTTGGTCTTAGGAAGTTTTTGGAAGGATATGCATCTTGGGCTGAATATTTTGGAGACAACAAGCGGAAAAGTTTATCTTGTTCACATTAAAGGAATTTAGTCTCTGTTGTACTGTTGTAATAAGCTTATATTAGGAAAGGCTCACAAAAAACAAACTAACAAACAAACAAACCAAGAAAGCCACACACCCCAAATAAATTTAAAAAACGTCTTTCTTACAAACACCACCCCCCCTTTTTGTAAAAAACAACAAACCCCCCCACTTTTAGCCAGTTTCCTATTTTACAAGTTCCACTCTCCACCTCTGAAGAAGAGGCACTGCATCTGTAGATTCTGATTCTTGTAACCTTTGCTGTTGATTCCATGACTTTTATAGCCATTTATTTTTTCTGGCCATTTACTCTCTATCCTTGTAATGGTACAGTGCCTGGATTCATGTTTATACATAAGACAGACCAATTAAAATACAGAGACTACTCACATAGTCAAAACTAAGTGTGTCTTTAAAAGAATTTGAGTAGAATCTTATCAACTCTTAATATTGAACTGACAAAGATGTAATGTCAATGCAACTGAATACTACTACTAATTGCAGTCAGGTTTGTATCAAAACAGATCACACAAACTTGGGGGCCTGATGGGTGCTTACATATGTTCCCACATTCTTTCACATACCATAAAGGCATTGAGAAAGGACTACTAGAGGACTCTGGAGATAATGAAGAGTAGTGAAGGAAAGAGAAGGATGTCAGTGCTGGAGGGAAAGTGTTTGGGTACGATTTGAATACAGCGATACAAAATAGTCATGTGAATCAAGCAAAACCCAAACGCTGGGGTTTTTTAACCATCCTGATTTATTTCATACCCAGCATATGTGATACACACTGTAAGTCAGATATACCTTTGATCGGAGAGCAAGGTTCTCCTCTTCTAGCTCCCTGAGTTTATCTTGCAAAACATCCAACTGCAACAGATCGTGTGATACATTGAAAGACTCATGGAAACGAAGTGGTGTGGAACAGCTGGAATCTGTTTCACTCTCCTCGGAAGCTATCGAAACAATACGAAGCAGGTCATCTTTCTTTGACAGTTCATGCTGCAGCTGGTTAACCTATGACAAAAGAAGATCACCAGCTTGTGAATTATACTTTAGCTATACAGTATTACAGAGCATTACTCACACAGCCTCTTGGAACATCACTGCTCCAGTCTAAAATGAGATTAAAAAATAGCTCTCAAGTCATGATTGATTTATATTTAAACATAAGATTCAGGCTCTAGTTCTTTTATAGAAAGCTCACAAAAATAGTAATTTTAACACTGTAAGGGAGACTGAAAACTCAAGATAGCATAAGAATGGACTACTTTTTTAATAGTTTACTTCAAAATAATTTTCCAGCTGCTTTGATACATGTTTACATTTTGACATGCTAACTATCATTTTGATTGTGATCATTTTTCTAAACTGTAGCCTCCTGGAGAAAAGGACTGATAGACATCTATTGATATGTGTAGACTGGTCCCCCCAAGTCTATACATTAAATGAACTGCAGGACAAATAAAAACGAAAGAAGAGACAGATCTCAGTCAGATAAATTATCTTTTGCTTATCTACATTTTTATATGAATACATGCTTATGTTGTCCTACAGTTAATTATGAGTATGTATTTATTACCAGCTTGTTTTATACAAGCAGCTGAATCCATTTCACTGTAACAGACTACATCGGTTGATCTTAGGGTTAAAAAACTTGGGATACTCTATAGGTTGTCAACTATTTCATTCCTTTTTAAGAACGAACAACAAAGAAAAGATTAGATCAAGAATCTGTGCTTAAAGGAATAGATGGAGTGAAGATCTGAGCAGAATTCATTTTTCATTACATTTAACTCTTTTTTAAAATTTTTTTACTTTTTCAATTTTTAAGTGTAAGCACCCCATTAAGCCAGCTCATTTTCTGGCTGTTTCCTCAGCTGTGAAGTTGTTATGTAGCAGGTTATATCAGATACCAACTACTTATTTTGACTTAGATTATTAGATTTTTAGTTTAATGGCAGGATATCACACTGATGGTCAAAACAAACGCTTTGAAAATGCAATCCTGCTGTAGATACATCGTAGTAATACCCAACGTTCTCATAATTTCTCAGTAATTACAATATGCAGTCTTTATAGTCAATTATTGGACTGAGAAAGCTGACTACACTATGACAAGTAGGAGAACGATTTCTGAGTATAATTCTGTAGTTTGAGAGCAGCAATCACCTGCTTTCACAATGAAAGAATATATTTCTATTAATCCTCTCCCCATCATCATAAAAAGAAAAAAAGAAGAAAAAAAAAAAAATCACTCACTCGATCTAGAGTTTGTCCTAACTGTTCTTCTAGTGCTTCATTCTGTTCCGTCAACAGATGGTTTCGCTTAAGGAGGGCTTGTCCAATTCGAGCTGCCAGTTCCAGGTCCCGATCCTTCTGCTCACAAAATGAGAAAAAATATCTAAACCGTATCTGATCAAAAGCAAATTCAGAGTAGTTTTAGATTTTCCTAGCTATTGTTTTATGCATCACCACCGAGATCCCCCGACACTCTCAAAGGGATCAACATTGTTAGATGCTTCATAATTTGGATCCTGCACAGATCTGTAACTGTGTTTCTTCATATAGCACATTTCTTGACATAGCATATTCTCTTCCACAGTCATTTGCAGTAACAGGGGGCAGGGAAGGCACCAAACCTGGGGACAGTTTTGGGGTTTGTGCTGAGTACTGGAGAGGTTATATGGGCTCTGGTGCATCATACAAAGAAGCCACACATACTTAGGCTTGTGGTCCTTCAAGTGACACTTTGTCCAGAACAGACTGCGTAACTTGAATAGTGATAAGAGGGTAGAAAAAAGGAAAAACAGGAAAGCAGAAAAAAGCTGTTTGTTTCTTATGCCTCACTGGCTCCATGGGTGCCCGTAGTTTTGCTAAATTTTGTTTCTGAGCCAGTGCAACCCAATGGGCAGCTTCTTATTACCCTTGTGTTTGATAAGCAGCTTCTGAAGATAACTGAAACAGAATTTCCAGTAGCTGAATAAAACCCTTCCTCAAATACATGCTTTTAAATTTATTAACATAGCATTACACAGATGAGCATACCTCAGCTAACAGATGTTTGACCATGTCAGCATCGCTGTAAGTTTTCTGCTCCACATTATCCGTGCCAAGAACTGAGAAGAGAAAAAAAGATGCTTACTGAAGTAAGCAACTTAAGTACAAGATGACTGCTGGGAAGGGAGAGCACTAAAACTCAGAGGTTGTTGTTTAGATACAAATGCAGTACTTAGCTGATGAAACTAGCAGAAGCTATGAAAATGCATCTTCAGAAATATGAAACAACACTTATTTGGGAAACTGATACAATGAGATACTGAACATTTACTGCTTTCAGCAATATTAGCTAAAACTTGAGGTGCTCCCACATCCTTCAAATCTAGAAAAAGGAGAAAAATCTTTTAAGATCAACTTTTTGAATACAGCTAAGCTATTAAATCATCCAGCCTGCTGGGGAGAGAGGGAAAGGTACACTGGAGCATATCCAAATATAGCTGAACACACCTGCAGACTATACCCTTCAGACAAAATTCCCATTAGTGTGTGTCTACACACAAGAAGTATGGAGACCCCAGAAACTAGTAATGAAAATGTATTTATTAAGTGCTTGCTCATCTTAGAGTTAAAAAGAAATGGGATAATGTATGTCTGCAATTTAGATGTAGCAGTAAATCCTATCTTACTGATTGGGTGACTTTGACGTTTGAAGAGTTTGTAAAACTATTAAAAAACTGAGAACAAGTAGGATTTGAAAAACAGGACTGAGTCAAGAGTAAACAAAGCATGAAGAATTTGCAAAAACTCTAAACAAAACACAGTGCTAAAACACAAAGCACTGGTCTGCTCTAGTTCTTGTCCTGTCAAATAGAAGATGCTATCAAAGAAGAAATCTTAATTACCTTGAGCAAATTTGTGAGATCCAGACAAGGAGGAGGAAGGAAGATCAATAAGAGCTGGAGTGACAGAAAATGAAAGATACAGGGGGAAAAAAAGAACAAAGAGGAGAAAGAATTAAAATGTAAGGAAATAGGTGATTTATTTGCATGCATCCACCACCACCAAAAAAAAAAAAAAAATCAATGCATGTGTAATCATACTTTTTACACTACTAAAGCTTTCTTAGAACTTTTAAATGTTTTACTAAAAGATCTACTAAAAGTTCTACTAAAACTTTCTTAGAACTTTTAAAAAAAACATTTAAATATGATTCCCTTCAGAAGCAGAATTATACATCTTGCAGGTGATGGATGTTCGTGCTTGTCCCAGTTCAACAGATATTTGCTATTTTTGCTTTATGGAATCAGGATCATGAAAGCAAAGAAGGCAGCAATACAAATTTAACAAATCTAGAAGTATCTGCTTCAACTGAAGGTCTAAGTTAACTTGTTTTGAAACTAATTCCATCATCACTGCACTGCAAAATGAGATTACTATAGATTTGGTCTAAATCTATTTCTGAAGATATCCTTGACTCTTCTACCTTGTTTTAAGTCCGACCCATACACTGAATACATAGTGGTATTGGTTCTCAGTTTTTTTCTTTTTTTCTTGTTGAGGACAGCACACTTACTTATGAGATCGTGAAGTGCCAAGCTGAAGTGCACACTAATTTCATTTACATATGCTGTATAACATATGTATGTCCTTTACATACATAATGTCAATAATTAACCTTTTAAAACATAATAGTAAGCCTGTGGTAGGAACAAAAACAAGTTGCATTTTAGTATAGAAAGACACTTTCTTGCAGTCTTGAAAGAATATAAAGAACAATGTAGAAGAAAAAAGTTTACTGAACTGTTTTTCTTAGAGCTTAACAGAAAAATAAATCAAACACTTTTTATCAAGTAGATCAGCAGGCATAAAAACCCAGCACATGCTGTTCAAATATTCAGGAGCTTTGAACTTACAGCAGTACCAGGGCAGGTAATTAATTAATTTTTGTGTTTAATTAATTTATTTTTAGTTTATTTTTATTTTTAATTTAATTTAATTAAATTTAACTAAGCAGGGCAAAACCAGAAACTCTTCGCAAAATTTAAAGTACCTTTCTATGAGTAACATAACATGCATTTGGGAGGTCAATTTTACCATACCGCTTGGTTGCTGATACTGGTTGCCAAGAGGGGACTCGAAACTCATCTGGCTAATGTACTATTTGGTAAATTCACTGCACATACACAAGTAAGTTTCAGCCATTACAGGCAGAATATTATAGCTGGCTCTCCTGTGGTAACTGTTCCTACCATATGTTTTCAAGTTAAAAGTTTATATCCAATGCTAAGTCACCTTAATAAAGATTTACACTAATTGCATACAAGGTTACTCAGGCAGGTAGGTTCCTAAAAATTAAAAGCAAATATATTTGCTGATACATGAAATCACAGAACTAGCAGACTTGAAACTTAGCTCTATACAACTTTTGTTATCTTCCTACAGTACAGGATCAAAATTATACATAGTTTGTTACAATTCTCTCTTGTGAACACGCACATGCGCAATCTCTCCTCACTCACCTTGCCAAGTGAAAGCTGCAAGCAACTCTTCATTTTGGTTAACATTCTTGTTATGTTGTGCCATGTCCCTTTATTCACACATACAAAGTAATTATAAAGACAGAAGTTTTGTAATCCACAGTTTCTTACGCTACCACAGTTGAAGCAGAAAATATTCTTCCACCTCAGTGAAAACACTGCCAGTGGGAACTCAACTGGTCATTGGATAAACCTTCTAA